AAGCCGGGCAGGTAAGCCGGGCAGGTAAGCCGGGCAGGAAAGCCGGGCAGGTAAGCCGGGCAGGTAGGCCGGGCATGTAGGCCGGGCAGGTAGGCCGGGCAGGTAAGCCGGGCAGGTAGGCCGGGCAGGTAGGCCGGGCAGGTAGGCCGGGCAGGTAGGCCGGGCAGGTAGGCCTTGGGAAGGGCAGGAGCTGTGAGAGTTAGGAGGGGCTCTACAGGCCGGACGCTGCCCCGTAGGCAGCTGGGCGGGGCCGAGCCCATGGAGCGCAGCGCCAGCGGACTCACCACGGCCTTGTAGGGGTAGGAGGCGTCCGAGTCGATGCCGCCGTTGTCGATGATGTACTGGAACGCCTCGGTCATGTAGCCGCCCTCGCAGCCCTTGTTAAAGTACTTCCAGGTCGAGCAGTCCACCAGGTTCTGGGCACTCAGGGATACCAGCTTCCCGGTTTTCAGCTTCAGCTGCGCCTCCAGGGCCCCCACGGCGCTGAACGCCCAGCACGACCCACACGAACCCTGAAATGGACACGGGCAGGTCCATGGAGGCTCGGGACACCCGGGCCCGCCGCTGCCCGTTCTCGCCGAGACAGTGGGCGCGAGCACAGAGGGCTCGCCCCTTCCCAGCGGAAGGTGGAGTGGGAGACTTGCACAGGGCAACCCAGAGGGTCAGGCCACTCGAGGGAGCTAAGCAGCCCAGGGCGGGTCAGCTCTCAGCCGGTGCCCCTTGGCCCTGAAAGGCGCCTAAAACACAGGGCTAGCCGAGGCACACAGGAGCAGAGCCCAGAGGGAGTTAGCGGAAAAGGTGGACGGTCCGGCCGTGACGGCCCCTTCCGCCTGCTCCTTCCCCGAGGAAGCAAACTGAACTTGCTTTTGGTTAGAGCAGAATCACCCAGCGACAGGGGAGGAGGTCGCGCTCACGACGACGGCTACGCCTGTGGCTTGTCTGGCCTTCCAGACTCCGCGGAAGGCAAACATCTGGGTGGAAAAGAATCTGAGCGGCCAGCCCCTGCTTATCTGTACCCTCGCACTGCCCACACGCAGGGCGGTAGCGCGGAGCAGTCTCTCTCCTTGATGCTGCGGTGATGCATGAGGTGTCTTCTACAATTAGCTGTCCCTACACAGGACTTGTGTCACTCTCAAAAAACTAATTAAACATATAGCTGTTTACTTACAAATACGCAACACCAGTGTTCATTTTTGTCCGGTGTTTGCGCCTTCCCTCAGGTGTGTCCCCCCCAGTTCACCCTGCACCATCCCCACAGGCCCGCTGCGCCCCCCACCCCTCTCCCACCGGCGCCCCGAAAGTGCCTGTTTTGTCTTTTTCCGAGCTCCTCTGTGCTCCTCCTGTAAGTGAGAGCATCGGGCACTTTGGTAACCGCTTTTACGAGGAGCCACGGGACCACAGTGCGTGGAAGCCCCGTGCGTGGAGTCTCGCCCCGCCCCGCGGGCAAGTTTACAGGCCACCCCGGGGTGCGCTCCTCCCTGTCAGTCCCGAGCTCACCAGTGGGAGGCAGAAGGAGCTTCCCGGCCGAACCCCGACCCTCAGCAGCGCTTGCCAGGCCCGTGGCTTGGCGCTGCTCGCGGAGGGGCTTTGCCCGCAAGACCCGTCGCCTGGCTCAGCTTTGTCTGGCGGGGCCCACGCTGCTGGACGGGCGCGAGGCAAGTGAAGCGCGGGTCCTTCCCGCGAGAGGCCGGAGTCGCCGGCAGACGCCTCCTCGCCTGCGCTGCTGCCGGGGCACGGGGCGGCCGCCGGCCAGGGCGGCCACACTCACCTGGTACTTGACCTCCGTCACACAGCCCTTCTCCCTCCAGTCCACCGAGTCGGGCAGTGTCCGGTTGGGGGTGGACTTGTAAGTGACGTTCCTCTGCCTCTGGTTGGGGACGCTCAAGAGACCCATGAGCGCCACCACTTCCTGGCTGGTCTGCGCGGAAACACATGCGGCCGCTCAGTCATCGCCTCCTGTCAGCTCCCCGGGTTGGCACAGAGCTGGCGGCTGAGACGAGCCGGGGCAGCGGTGACCGTGGGCGCCGCTGACCCACAGGGGGTCAGCGGGGGCCTTCCCGCCAGCCCCCCGCCGCAGGCTCGCTCCTCACACCGTCCCTGTAGCTCTCTGACTGCTGACCGCCCTCCACGCTCCCGGCTCTGGCTGCGCTGACCCAGATCCTCCAGGTCTCTCCCGGTCGGCAGCCTCAATCCCGCCTGCGGCCTTAGCTCCTCCGCCAGGGCACCTGACCCGGTACACGGGCCCGGCATGGAATTCGGGGGGGGGGGGGGCAGTTGTCTTAGCTACCAGGATGCTTCTTTGTTTTTATTTCTTGGTCTATGTTTGAATTCTATCTTCGGTCACTACTTTTAGCTGGGAGAATGTTTGTCAGTCTTTCTTCTACTTCTGCAAACAACAAATTCTGGTTTTGTTTATTTGGGAAAGTATTTTAGTTTCATTTTTGAAAAGCATTTCTTCTGGATATAAGATTCTTAGCTGATTTTTTGGTGCGTGCAGCACTTGACTGTGGAAGCCTAGAGGCACTATTATCCTTACTTTTGGCCACAACGATAAAGCTGTGTAGGTTAGAACGGAACGTGAAGGCTAATGGGAGATTATTTGGGATATTAAATGCCCGCTCTCTCCCGAGAAAGCAGTGGCCCATATTAACTTGTCAATTTAGGGTTATAAAATTAGGGTCACTTACTACAAAAGATCGTGAGCAACCTCTAGGCTATGCTTTCTCAAATCAACTGAAAAATAGAAGCAGTAGCAGCCCACGAGTTTAAAACATCTCTCTGCAGAGGGGTGTGTGACGTGGTCACGGCAGAAATAAAGAATCTGCACAAATTCGCAAGTCTTAACTTCTAATGTTTTTCGACTTTGTACACCTATGAGTAATTCTGCTCTGCTGGTGTTGGCTTCGTCGGCTGCCGCGGGGCGGGCCCGTGCCCTGCAGCGGCTGTTTCTCATTCACCTACCATGTCTGCCAGGTGGTTCATGCCCAGGTCGTACGAGTGCATGCCCATCGAGTGCTCCAGGTTGTGCAGCATCACGTGTCTCAGGTTCTTTTCCCAAATGAGGCGCCGCGCAGCCTCCTCATTCTAAAACAGACGGGACAAGACACAGATCCATTGGTTCCTGCACAAGTCAGCGTTCAGTCACGAAAAGAAAACCACTACAAAGCATTCTGGTGACGGGGGACGGGGAGCGGCTGGGAGAAGCCATCGTAGCCGGGGAGAGTCGCGCATTGGTCTTAACCTTTGCTCTTCACTGCCTGGGGGGTGTTCAGTGTTGTCTCCTACAGTTCGTTGTCTCATGACAGCCAGGCGGACTTCCTCACTGTGCTGGGAAACAGTTTCAGGAACTGCTATTTGCTGAAGTGGTACATTCACTTAGTCTTTCCCAGTCTTTAAATCTTTCTTCTAGTAGTTGACTTGGTTCTAAATTTCGAGCGTTTCTCTGCAGTGACTTGAGGCTTCCTCCTCACTCGCCTGGAGTCCGGCTGCACGTCAGGGCTCTGCTTCCCTGCTATGCTGTCATTTTTGAGGCTGTGTTGCTTCCAGCACAAATCTATTTTTGACGGGGTCACTTGCTTCCTTTTGCTAGGTGAGGCAGAGGCCAAAGCACCCGGGCGCTGCGCCACAGCTCCCCCCCAGCCCCCGGTTTCCCACCTGCCCGCCGGAGCCTCCACCTTACAGAGTTTCAGGCTTTGTCTCGTCCCTTTGTCTGTCTGTTCCGCGCACGCACGAGTGACCTCCTGAGGCATCTCTTTCTCCTTCTCCCTTACTCTGGTAGCGTCTCCCTCCGGTTTGTCATGCTGTTGCAAATGGCAAGATTTCACCTTTTTCTGTGACCGAGTAGTAGTCCATGGTGTACATAAAGTCACCCTTTCGAACGAACCCCTCTGTCCTCGGTCACTTCCGTGGTTTCCACGCTCAGCAGGTGTGCAGAGAGCCTCAGTGCACACAGGCAAGCACGGAACGCTTCAACTCAGTGTCCCTGTGTTCCTTAGCTGGACACCTGGGCTGCACACAGGCTTATTTTAATATTTTGGGAAAGCTCCGTACTGACCCCGGGGGCCGGCCCGGTCTGTAGTCCGACCTAGAGTGTCGGGTGTGCTGCTTTTCCCCCACAACCTTGCCAATCTTACCTCTTATTTCTGGGTTTTTTAGTGGCCCATTCTCACAGCTGTGAGGAGGTATCTCATTTTGACTTTGCATTTCATTTCCCTAGTAATAAATGATGATGAGCAGTTTTTCATACGTCTGTTCATCTGTGCGTCTTCTTGGGAGAAATGACAATTCCTCTTTGGCATTTATTTTTTAAAAGTTTTATATGAGTTCTTTGTAGACCTTGGATATGAACCCCGTCAGATGTATGATGTGCAAAACTTCTCCGCAATTTAATAGGGCATGTTTTTATTTTAACGAGTTTCTTTCACTGCACAGCTTTTAGTTTGATCAAGTCCTGTTTGCTTATTTGTGGTTTTCTTCTCCTCGCCATATGTTTGGCTGCCAAAAGTCACCCCTGAAGCTAGTCATGAAGTGTTTTTCTTTTGCCTCTATGTATTTCACGGTTTCAGTCTCATATCCAGGTCTTTAAGCCATTTTTGAAGTAAGTTTAGTATATGGTGTGAGATAGTGGACTAGTTTCATTCCCTTGCATGCACCTGTCCAGTTTCCACAACACCATCTGTTGAAGAGACTTTCCTTTCTCTGTTATATACGGTTGGATTTTTTGCCATAGATAACATATGTTCTGTTCATGTACATATGGTCTGTTTTAGGTTATCAGTTTTATTTGGTCTATTCCACTTTCTAATATTTTTAGACAAATACCATATTGACTTGATTACTATAACTTTGTCGTGTAGCTTGAAGTCTGGGCATGTAATCCCTCTGTTCTTTCTGGATTACTTTGTTTGGGTTCTTTTGCAGTTTCATATAAAGTGCAGAAACGTTTTTTTCTACTTTGTTGAAGAATGTCATTGAAACTTTTATGAGGATTACACTGAATCTGTATATCGCTTTGGGTAAGTCAACTATTGTAGCTATTAATTCTTCTATTTAATTTCAAATGTGATTCTAAAATGAAATATATGTCAGAACCAGCATACTGAACCATGTGGAAAATCTCTGTAACTGTTCCCCCTGTGAGTTTTGCAAATTATTAGCAAACATATGTCTCGAAAGCTTCAGCCAAAGACCGCCTCACCGAGTGAAGTACCTTGTCCAGACCCAAGCAGCTACCCTTGCTCTTCCTGGCTTGTCACCGAGGTCCAGATCACAGTGCTGTAACTGAAAGGCTCTGGGCTCTCATTTTACCTGTTATTACTAACAGGACCACCGGTTCCTGTATCCAGATTGAGATTCAAAGATTTTCTGCATTTTCTTTAAAAGGGTAGTGCTCTAAGGTGTGGAAAATTCTCGGAAGCAAAGGGGATCTTATCTCTAACTGCCTTTTGAGGCTTCTGGCTGAACCGCTGAGGCAGCGTGACTCAGCAGTGATTACAAAACAAACGAGACCACCTGCTGGCTGCACCCTGAAGCCTTCTGCCTGATGCTGTTGTCAGCCCACCCCAGAATTTCAGCTGCCCACCCACGCACCCTACCAGGCAAGTATTGCATACGTCTCCCTACCCACTGCTGTCGCCTGTAAGTCAGAATCTCCCAAGGAGCTGGAACGGCTGTGGAAACTCTTCACCAGAGGTTTAAGCTTTGAAACCACGGATGAGGGGCCTCCCTGGAGGCTCAGGGAGTTAGGGCACAGGCAGCCCGAGTGCGATCCCGGCCAGGGGCACAGCAGACTCTCCTGTCGCCCCTGCTCCGCTCGGCAGTGGGGTTCAGCCAGTCGGCCTGTCCTGCTCCCCGCTCTGTCCTGCAGAGTCCTCTCCCCCCGCACCTGGGGTCTGCACCCCAGCTCTTGTGCAGAAGTGAGTAAATCTTTCAAGAAAAAAACAGCAACAACTGATGTGCAGCTGATGAGCCATTTTCAGCAACGGGGAAGGCTCACAGCCTGAGGCGCTGGGATGAGAACTTAGAGCGCCCGCGGCTTTGGGCTTGTCACGGTGGGACGTGGGTACAGCCATGGGCTTGTCACGGCGGGAGGTGGGTACAGCCACGAACTCGGGCCACACAGAGCAGCGAAATTTGTGGAACCAAAGAGGGCTGTATCAAGAGCAGATTCTCACATTGCCCACTTAACTGTGAAAAAGATTTTGCTGGTGGCATTAAAGACGACGCTGGAGAACATCACCTCGGAGGTGATTCTGAGCAGCACGGGGCCTGGAAGTGACTGAGACGGTGACAGGCGGAGGCCACGGCAAGAAGAGAGGCTTTGCTTTTGTGCCCTTTGATGACACGACTTTCGTGCCTCTGTAGACACGACCGTCATCCAGAAAAGCCGCTCTGTGACCGGCCACGCTGCGAAGGAAGCGAGCCCCGACTGGGTGCGAGAGGCTGCGGCGTCCGGGACACTCTGCTGGCGTGGTGGTTGGGTGGGAACGGCAGCTTTGGTCATGGAGGACACACAGGGGTCCGGTGGCTTTGGCGGCAGCTGAGGGGTGGACGTGAGGGCAGTGGGCCGGCTCTGCCTTGGTGATGATGGAAGCGGTGGGAGCGACAATGGCGTTGGCAATTACAACTCATCTTCCCGTTTTGGACCCACGAAAAGGAGCGGACGCGCCGCTCCCAGGACGGTGGGCTCCAGCGCTCTGCCAGGCCACGAGGCCACGGTGGCTGTGGTGGCTCCAGCGGCACCGGGCAGCAGTGGGCAGCACTGGGCAGCAGTGGGCAGCACCGGGAAGCACCGGGCAGCACTGGGCAGCACTGGGCAGCACTGGGCAGCACCGGGCAGCACCGGGCAGCAGTGGGCAGCAGTGGGCAGCACCGGGCAGCAGTGGGCAGCAGTGGGAAGCACTGGGCAGCACTGGGCAGCACTGGGCAGCAC